CAGGGACAGGGTGCAGGGCCAGATCCATGTTGCTAGGGCTCCTTTCTCTCTTCCCCTCTCCTCATTCTCATTCACTACAAGAATCCTAAATTTTCTTAAAACTGTGCTCCTTGTGTCTATTCTCTTTTGTCTCCTGAGAGCACAGTGTATCAGAGTCTCATCAGTGATGCCTGGTTGTATACAGCCTCCCTCTCTGCTTTCTCTGACCTTGCCGTGTCCACTCTAGCAATTGTCTCAGCAGTTTTATCTCCCCAAAGTTCTGTTCTCACCATGTTCCCACTCTGCATCTGAACACACTTCTCTCCACTTCCCCTGCGTGACTGTCCTTTATCCTGCCTCTGTGCTCCTTCTCACTTCTGCCCCACGATCCTACCCAGCATCACCTTCCACCACGTGCTCAAACAGACTCTTCCTGAGGTCATGCTGGCCCCTCCGTGGTCCCACCCTGCACCAGGTGCCATCCAGCTCTGTGGTTTCTGTTTAGAAGCCCTTCTCTAGACTGGGTTTCACCTCCCTAGGGCTCAAAGCATTCCTTGTGTCTGTTCTCTTTCATCTTCCTGAGAGCACACTTTATTCATCATTGACCATCAGCCACTTAGGACACTCTCACATTTTAAGATAGCTCATATGGGCAAATGAGAGAAACATCCTGAACCAAATCTGGCTGATGGAGACTGGGCAAACACAGCGCTCCTTTTCTGATTCTCTGCACTTGCTGTTTAGAAAAAAGCTCTGGGAATGTCTTTAATGTCACTACTTAATTTTCTCATCTCACTTTATCCCTCTCTTTCTAGACTACTGAGTCTTATTAACTTGTACTTTGAATATTCTTTGCATTTTCAGAAGAAAAAGAAAACGTTTCTCAAACTTCTGAAGTACTGCGTACTGTTAATGGGGCAGGTTGGGAGAAGCCATCAAGGAAAGATCCAGAGATAATTTAGGTTGTATTCTCCCTAAATCTACCAAGTCTTTCTCTGCAGGGAGAGCATGGGCAGAGCCGAACCATGCTGACACCACTGCTGGGGTCAGAGCTGTGCACTGTGCACACTATTCACACATTATTGTGAGAAGCCACACACAGGAAGCATCCTTGTGTAATCTGAAGGACGCGTTCATTCATCTTGGCCCATCTGCATGGATGAATGTGCCCTCTCCTGCCCATGTTCCAGATGGCAGGGCCGGCACATCACACAGCATCTCACTTCTAAGAACGTTCAGAGCATTTCCCTTCCTTCTTGTACAAGACCCATCCAGGCTGGGGTGTTCAAGAGATGCAGCTCTACAGTTTATAGAAACCTAAACATGGCCACGTTGAGAGTTGAAACCCTTGGGATGGGGAGGTGGGGAGAAACTAGGATCATTTTACTCCCTGAGTGCTTTTCCAAGGAGAGCCTGCTGGAGCTGTAGGTCCTCCTGGAAGACGGAGGAGCCACTGATTCTGCTGACGACAGAGTACAGAGGTAATCCTTGAGAAATCTGTGCCAGGGACTACAGGACTTCTTTATCCTAGACCAGCAACTTATTCTGTTCAGCCTGACTTTATTGGAAAATAATTCTACAAAGAAAAAGGGTGAGCACCCATCATGCCTCAGTCCCTGGGAGATGAAATCAGGCAGACAAAAAGACCATGCTCTCACCATGACTAGTCGTGCCATCCTGGGCAAGTGAAAGAAACTTTCTGAGTCTCAGCATCCTCAGCTCTAACATGGAGATGCCACTGCCCCTTGGGAGCATTTCTTCAGCTCTGAATGTTTATAGCAGGACAGAGCTTGGTTGGCAAGGGGCAGGGCATATGCATATGAAAGGTCAAAGAGTATTTTATTTGTTTAATGAATCATGTGATCACAGAAAATCATTTGCTTTTTCAAACTCAGGGAGAAATGCAAAACTGGAAAAGGTATGGTCCTGGTAGGAAAGGCACTCACTGACTGAAACAGAATAGAGACCAACATTTTTGTTGCTAGTTTCTCTCTCTCCTATCTCTCTCTCTCAGGTGTGTGTCTGTGGTGTGTGGAATGTGTGTGTGTGCATGTGTGTGTGTGCGTGACACAGGTCTCACCTTGTTGCTCAGCTGGAGTGCAGTGGTGCGATAATGACACACTGCAGCCTCAATTCCCAGGCTCAGGTGATTCTTCCACCACAGTTCCCATAAAGTTGGAAGTACAGGTGTGTGCCATCATGCCTTGCTAATTTTTCATCAAGACATGTTTTTGTAGTGTTGCCCACACTGGTCTCAAACTCCTCGCTCAAGCATAATCTACCCTCCTCAGCCTCCCAAAGTGCTGGAATTACAGGCATGAGCCACCGCACCTGGCACTGTTGCTATTTATTACAACGTAATCAGATATACTGGGGTAACATCACAGAGTTACCTGCCTTACTAGAAAATAGGTTTATGCTGAAACTCCCACAATCCACATGAAACTCCAGAATGGGAGTTATAAAATTCATTGTTATAAAAAGTGTAACAAAGCTCAAGGAAACTGCTGCAGCCAGTAACGTGCTAAGATGAACTGTTCGTTTTATGAGTGCTGCTGTGAAATGTGCCTGCCATGTAAATGTCTGTCCTGGTCCTGGCCCAGCTTAGCTGTGGTCTCTCAGCTGAAGTGCTGCATTCAGAGATCCACACCTTTGCCCCCACCTGTCCCCACAGCGTCCTGCTCACCTGAGGCTCCTCAATTAATTCAATTTTCATATCGATCTGGTTTCTTCTCCTATGCGGTATATCTCTTTGGTCCAGACCGGATGGTTAGGTGGTATTCATCACAGTCTGAGAAAAGAAAGTCATGCCAGCCTCAGTGGAAGGCTGGACAGGCGTGTGGTGGTCACTGCCTACATGAAGGTGGCAGCATTTATCAAGGACAAAGGCATCTCCACTATCAGGCTCCAGTGAGGGATTTCCTCTTTTTTAGGTATAAGCCTTCTACTCACTGGCATCTGATACTCTCCAACTTCGAGAGGGGAAAAAAGAAACTCAGTGGCACATCAAGTAACACCGGGAATGAGACAGCGTCCAGAATTCACAGCACCAAGGTCTGACTCTTAGTTTTGGGCCACGTTTCTAAGCCTTGCAGCCTCTCCTGTAAAACACTCTAGGGGGCATGAAGTACTGATATTCTGGACAGTAGGAAATGCCTTAGGACTGTGGGACATGGATTCCCTGGAACGGGGAATTTCAAGCACAAATTTGTTAAAATTTGAAAAATCATATCGGACTATAATTGCATAAAATATGAGGGCATTGGACCCTGAAATCATGAAAGAAATGTGGCCAAATACTAATAAATATTTGAATTAAGTTAGAAATAGTAGAATAAGAAAATAATAGGGTTTACTATGTGCCAAGGATTGTTCTAGGAGATTTAAAAGAA